ACATACATCATAAAATCTAAGTGGGAAGAGGTTTCTCTCTACTTCATGAAAATGATTATGAGGAAATGCCTTCACTAGTAAATTTTAAAGAATTAGAGTTAGCAATTGTGATAATTGCATTCTCAAATTCGAGTATGATTACGACATCCCTTTTCATAGTTCGAATTATGAGAAATGGATATTAGTTTGAACACTTGGGACTTATTGTTATAAGTTCTCGAAGAGTTTGGACACACACATGAACTATTTAATGAATGGTGTGCGAGCTTAAGAAGTCTAGATAGAGACTTTTTGAAGCATCACGTATCATAAATCTAAACTTTGGTAAAGTCAATAGGTATTGATCTCTAGCTGATTTCTAGGTACATGTCAAAGCTAGTGGGAGCATAATTGTTATGCTAGTAAGAACATAATTATTAAGCTAGTGGGAGCATGATTATTATGTTAAGTTTTGCAGGTTAGCAATGCTATTTATAGGAAACAAAGTTCTAAAATTGCAAAGTCGTAGAATTTGGAAATTGTTTTGTTGTAGTAAGGCATAAGGGATAGAGCATTAATACTTCATTTCGACTCTAAAAGTTTAGACTGGAATTTTAATGGGACTTAGTCATGGATATATATGAATGAAATGTTGAAATGTTTCAACATTGGAAATTATATATATGGAAATATTATAACAGGAGATTGGTCAAGTATCATGTCTTTATGTAAGACATTATGAATCGTATCCCATATGCTTCGGGTATAGGATCGATTGCATATGCTATAATATTTGTCTGTTCTGATTTTCCAAATGCCTAGCGCATTAAGAGGAAAAAGGACCAGAACCGGATATGACTAAAGTTATTAAACAATTGTCAAGGACAATTGTCACAACTAGCAATTCCGGGTTGAGGTTGTGAAGCTTGTACAACACAATTTCCTCTATGTAACATTGCTACATCAAATTAGTGAAATTCAAACTAAAATTTTATATGAATTCATATGTGCATACAATTTGAATTAACTTGAAATAGCCCTCTTGCAAGCCCAAACTTTATCCAATAGTTAAACAAAACTCAATTTTGGGCCTTGGCCGTAGAATTCTCAGCCCAAACACTCTAGGCCGAAAACCCATTTCCTTTGGGACTTACTGGACCGAAAACTCTCTTATTGGGCCCAATTAATTCCAAAAGCTCATACACACTCCAAACCGAAAACCCAATTAAGAACATAGGGTGTTTTCGGCCACCCTAAAACCAAAAACCCCCTTGGGAAGCCTCTATGGCCAAAAACCTCCTAGGGTTTTGGTTGGGAACCAAAACAAAAAAAAAAGAGAAAATAAATTATAATTATGGTGGCACCTCACCACTTTACATCTTTTGAACCATAGAACAACCAAGCCAAGCATTGGATTAACTTTCATACATCCATGAACAACACCTAATGGACCACCATGCAACAAAGCACCTCATTTCCTTCTCCCACTTATACTTGCGGCCGAGCACACACACACACACACACCCCTCAAAAATTCATTCCACTAACTTTACTCTCAACAATCCCTCTCTTTTTCTCTCAAAATTTTCGTGAACCACCTTCAAGGAAAATTACTTCCTCAAGTGCTCCTTGAAAGTTTTGGTAACTTCCTTGTAAAATTCAAGTGTTTTTATACATGTTAGTGTTAAGATCATTCCATTTACACATGCATTTGCATGTGTATGATTCATAGAGCATCAAACTTTCGAGAATCTCTCCAAGATCAAGCTAGGCTCGAAAACTTCCTTCTTTCCTTCCTACAAGTCATGAAATCAACAAGGTGAGCTTCATACCCCCATCTTTTCATGTTTTCATACTTTTCGGGGGGAATACAAGTCAAGTCTCGTTTACCCTTTGAATATTTGCATGCACCATCATGTTTATGTAACATATTGTGCTTATAATGTTGAATATCTCATACTATCACACCATAAACTCGTGATTTACAAGCTTCAAGTATGCTAGATTAAGTTTACCCTTTCGATAACTACATGCATCATGGTTATGTGTTGAAAATGG